GGTTCGAATCCCCAGCCCGGGCCCGCCAAACAACAATAATGGCTGCAACCAAAAAATGGCCAGGCGTTGTGGTGGGCGCCTGTAGTCCCAGCTACTGAGGCTGAGGCAGGAGACTCACTTGAGCCCAGGAATTGGAGGTTGCTGTGAGTGTGATGCCATGGCACTCTACCCAGGGGGATAGCTTGAGGCTCCGTCTCAAAAAAAACCCAAAAAAACATGTAGTCTAACCTTGTAGCTGATGCATAATTTCTTGTAATATTGCTAGCAAATGGATATCTTAGTACCGATTTTAAACATCTTTAATGTTCAACATTTAAGATAGTACAATTCATCTGCAAAATACAGATTGAGATATGTAATATATATATTCATGTTGAAATGCTTTAGCAGTGGGCGAGGCATAAGTGGTCCATTTTTGTGTATATAAACATCTTGATGCTGCAGGCCTTTTTACAAAATTTACAACTTGGCTATAAGTAAGACTTGCTAAGATGCGGGATTAATGAATTTGGTAAAATTTAGTGGATTTAAGGGTGTCTTAATAAAACAAAGCAAACAACTTGAATTTTTGAGATATAAAATAATAAAATTTAAAAAATCTGTTTAGTGAAATCATTTTAAGTAAAACAGAAGATTTTATATTTAATCATATGCATTTTATATTTAGTCAAATTATCCTTGACAAGATATAGCAAATTGTGTTTTAATATACATTAGAAAAACTCTGCTATTTAATTTATGTAGATTTTTATAGCTTTAGGCTACAGCTTAATAAACTGACATGGTGGTTAAAATGCTTGATTTGTAAACCTATGTAATTCATGTTTTAATTTTATTTAGGCTCAGGTAAAAAACAATAGGCTGCATCAGCCTAATATTAAACTCTTTACTTCCCTTTTTTGGTTACTTTCTTTTAGGTTGGGTGGAGTACTGCTCGTGATTATTACACGTTTTTATGGTCCCCTATGCCTGAACATTATGTAGAAGGATCAACTGTCAATTGTGTATTAGCATTTCAAGGTAAGGACTGGAAACTGCAGAACTTGATGAAACTAGATGCGTTATTTCAATTAAAAATGTTTCAGTATACCAAGTTGAATTAATTAGCATTTTTGTTTAGCAAAAGTTATAAGAATATAAATACCTAGTGCAGGCCACATGATATCTTAAATCTTACATAGTAATTTAAAAATTCTTTATCTTTTTTTTTTGAGTTTTATTATGTTGTCCTCGTAGAATGCTATGTCATCACAGCAACCTCAAACTCTTGGGCTTAAGCCATTCTCTTGCCTCAGCCTCCTGAGTAGCTGGGACTACAATCGCCTGCCACAAAATGCCTGGCTGTTTTTTTGTTGCAGTTGTCATTGTTGTTTAGCTGCCCCGAGCTGGGTTTGAACCCGCCAGCCTTGGTGCATGTGGCTGGTGCCATAGCTATTGTGCTATGCACGTCAAGCCTAAAACTTTTTTATCTTAAATTCTTTTTGAGACAGAGCCTCAAGCTGTCCCCCTAGGTAGAGTGCCGTGGCATCACAGCTCACAGCAACCTCCAACTTCTGGGCTTAAGCGAGTCTCCTGCCTCGGCCTCCCAAGTAGCTGGGACCACAGGTGCCTGCCACAATGCCTGGCTATTTTTTGGTTGCAGCCGTCGTTGTTGTTTGGCGGACCTGGGCTGGATTCAAACGCGCCACCTTAGGTGTATGTGGCTGGCGCCTTAGCCACTTGAGCCACAGGTGCTGAGCCTTATCTTAACTTTTACTGAAGATAATTGGTTTCTTTCTAGATCTTTATTTTTGGTGATTTTCAAATGAGAAAATAGTACTATTACTGATACTAGAACACTGTTACAAATAAGATATAAGGGAAATAATCTAGATGAAAAGGAAACAAACAGATGGTAGGATTTATAGTTACATTAATTTTGTCATATAAAAGTTTCTATAAAAGTATAAAATTGTTTCTTAGGTTGGCATTATATACAGATTTTAAAAAACCTTCTTATTCTGGTAATTCTGACACATGCTACAACATGGATGAACCTTGAGGATAGTATGCCAAGTCAAATAAGCCAGTCACAAAAAGAAATACTGCGTGATTCCACTTGTATCAAGTATTTAGAGTAACAGATAGCCACAGAAAGTAGAATTGTGGTTGCCAGGGCCTTCAGGTTACCTGAATGGAGAAATGGACAGTTATTGTTCAATAGGTATTAAGTTTCAGATTTGCAAGATGAAAAGCGTTTTGACCTGGTGCCTGTGGCTCAAGCAGCTACAGCGCCAGCTGAGCTGGCGGGTTCAAATCCAGTCCCTGCCCACCAAACAACAATGATGGCTGCAACCAAAAAATAGCTGGACGTTGTGGCAGGTGCCTGTAATCCCAGCAACTAGGGAGGTGGAGGCCAGAGAATTGCTTGAGCCCAGGAGTTGGAGGTTGCTGTGAGCTGTGATACCATGGCATTCTGCCCAGGGTGACAGCTTGAGGCTCTGTCTCAAAAAAAAAAAAAAGAAAAGATGAAAAGCGTTTTAGAGATGGTTTGTGGTGGCCATGGTTGCTTAGCAGTATGAATGCACTTAATGACACTGAACTATATACTTTAAAATGGTTGAAATAGTAAATTTTGTTTTTTACCACAATTAAAAAAAAAAATCTTTTTTTTTTTTTTTTAAATTGAGACGCAATCTCATTTTGTCCCCCTCGGTAAACCTCAAACTCTTGGGCTTAAGCTATTCTCTTGCCACAGCTG